TGACCCCTTCGGCCAGGGATCCACTGTTTCTGCGACCTGCTCTGCACTCGCAGCCCACGCGGGTGGATTTACACCTGCCCTCGCCGATCTGTGCACTTCCTCACAGGCCCCATCGGTGCCAACCTGTGGGAGGCCTTGCCAGCCCATGCGGGCCCTCGCCAGCCCGCGTGGGTCCACACACACACTCGCCAACCCTCGCAGGACACACGGCACAAGTGTGGGCCTGCACTGGGTGGTTTTAGGCTCTCTATTGTGTGCTTTTCGGCTTTTGGCTCTTTGGAGGTGTGTCCTCTTCCCGCACAATGGAGACTACGGAAAGGAGAAGGAGTCGGGACTCCCCCTTTCCTCCTCCCGTTCTTTCCGTGACACCTCTGTCTCCAGTCCCTCCCCAGGGGTCTCTGTGCAGTTCTGTGGCCCCTTTGGCGAAGGATCCATCACCTGTGCAGACGGCGTTGCAATTGCGGGCAGTCTGGCTCCTGCGCGCCCGCTTCTCCCTCTTTGGGGGAGCACCCTGCCTGCCCAGAATGGAGACTACAGAAAGGAGAAGGAGTCGGGACCTCCCAGGTTCCTCCACCCATTCTTTCCCCAATGCCTCGGTTTCCAGTCTCTCCTCAGGGGTCTCTAGGCAGTTCTGTGACCCCTTTGGCCAAGGATCCACCACCTGTGTAGACTGCGTTTCAATCGCGGGCAGTCTGGTTCAGGCGAGCCCCGCTTCTGCCTCAGAAACTTTTTTTTTTTAAATGCAAGTTCTGATGAAGAGGAAGGTGAAATTTGTCTCAGCTGTTGGCGTTTGCCTTCTAACTTCTTTCTGGATCTGTGTCTGGTTTTGTCACTGCTCCAGGTCTTACTGTTTTACTCTTTTGGGGGTGGAGGGAAGAAGCTCTCTTGGTGGTTGTTAAGCCTGCCTGAGATGTGTTCAGCTAAGAATCTTTCTGCAGATTTTCCCAGCTCCTGCAGGCAGTGTGGGGTTAGGCTCTGTATTTCCAGGGGTTTGGCAAGGACGTGGGCTCAGTTTGGACTACAATAATCAGAGGTTCCCAGTTTCCAGCCCATGTCCTCAGAGCACTCTGCACTCTGCACAGTTGCACTGTGTTAGCACCAATATACCACATTGTTTTGTACCCCCTTTGATCAGTCCATGAGGTGCACTGAATGGGAGCAAACTGCACCCACAATTCTCCCTTTTCAATGGCTAGGCAGCTAGGAGTGCTGTCCCTGCCCAGTGCACCTCAGTTCCCCTTTAGAAAAGTATTTTTGGGTGCCACTGTCACTCTCCCACTGTTTGACTTTCCACATACTCCAACCCCCTGGAAAGTCCAGAGTCTATCTCAGACAGGGCCAGTTGTGGCCCACCACTTCTCCCAGCTCCAGGTGCTGCCAGGATCCCCCCCAACACACACACTCTCTGCCACTGTCCTCGCCACCAGCAACCTCTGCCATGGCTTGGGTGCGCCACCAGTTTTTTCACCACCTGCGACTTTACCCACTCAAGTCTCTCCTGGAGTGGGTCTGCGATTTGCCCACCCTGGGAGGGGAGGGAGGCACTATGCTGCTATCCTCTGATGATTTCCCTGCAGCAGCTGCATTTTCTGGAGCCATGACCGGGGACATTCCCTGTCCTCATTCACCTCTCCTTACCACCCATTTTAAGCACCTTCTGCACACTTTGGCTTCCAAACTTCATATGAGCTAAGATTCTGTCGGTTCTTCACTTCATTCTTCAGAAGATCAGCTAAATGTCCCAGCTAGGTGCATGAACATGTGGGCTCAGCTCCCACCTACTTCACCACTATCTTCTCTGAGAAAGATCTTACCAAAGAAGGACACTAATAATCACTGAACATCAACTTCTCTCAAAAATTTAGAGTGTGTCTGCAGTGAACACACCATCAGTCAGCAGGCATAGGGTGTGAGCAGCAGGAGCGTGAGAGCTGCCTACATGGCCACGGACTGGAGCAAGAATCTATAACATATGTTGTGTGTGACCATAGGATAATCTAGCCTCTATACTTCCTTGAACCAAAAGTGCCCTCTCTACCAGTTCTTGGGCATACACAGGAACTGTTATGTAATGATCATGAGCACAGACTTGAGGGCCAGACTATCTGAAGTCCAGTGTGCTGTTACTATTCAATGTATACCATGTGTTATTGCTGTGCTAGTCACTGCTTGCTGACTGAGAACCAGTTAGTCTACCTCCACATATCTCAGTCCTTTCATGTATAAAATGAGGGTACTAATGATAGTACCTACCTCCTAAAATTGTTGTGAGGATTAAATGAGTTAAAATGTAAAATATTTACTGCAATGACTGGCCAAAGTGAACTCTAGATGTGTTTGTTATTATTATTAGCATTTTTAAATCTCCAGTTCTCACTTTGAAACTTCCTTTTGTCCCCTCAACATTCTGACCACCCCAACTATAGCTGCCCAGGGGATCAGGCTAATGATTGAAAATTTCATTTTCCTTATGTACATGTCTGCTCTATTTTCTATTACTTGAACTAACTTGATTGAGTCTGTTCTTTGTACTAGAAAGAACTGCTACAAATGTAGGCTGTGAAAAAAACTCATGTGTAAACTTGTGGCTATCACAACAAGCGTGCACCACTGCTTTAGAGTCTTGGAGAGGGTGATTGGGAGTGTAGGGCCTCTAGACTTCAGCATTTCCCTTGGCAGGGAGCCTGAGTCAAGACTCTGTGACAAGCTGAGCTACCTTTTCTTGAAGTCATCATTTTTGGGGATCCATCCACTTCCTCTGAGCTGATTCCACACTCCAAAACAGGTAAACTTCAAACAAAATTACCCTATTAGAGTAGCAGGTGCTGATAAGCTAACATGAGTATTTCCTGAGTGTAAGAAATATAAATTGTCTTTCTGAATCCAAGGCCACAGGATGTGGCCAGCATTACAATATTCACCAGGACCTGCTGGGAACAAAGCAATGCAGCATAATGGTAAAAAGCTCGAAGTAGATGTAGGTTAAAATCCTGGCTACATGATCTTGGCTGAGCAAAAAACCAAATTCAGTAGGTCTCAGCTTTCTTAACTTTAAAATGGGGGTTATACTAGAAGCTACCTCATAGAGTTACCTCGTTGGGTGTCATAATGTATGTAAAGTCTTCCAGCTTGTCAGGACCTTCACGTACATTTACCTTAGAGGCTTAGTCATTTTAAAGACCCAGCAAAAACCAATAAGAATAAACAAAGATACAATCCACTTTATGGTGAAATCCAAGATTTGGGTCTTTGGATGTATTTTATCATTATATAGAGACATGTATGTATCTAGTTTTTTTAAATATAAAACATTTTATATGAAATATTGAGCACACCCAAGAAAAGCAATTCAGTCCCCCTCTAATCTCTGGCTCCTTATCTCCACATCTTTTCTACCTGCTGAACTCAGGATGAAAAATAGAACTTCCCAAATGACTTCTAACCCTGGGCCTCAGGATGCTATGTCCTCTCCCTTGAAGTTACACCTTGTGTGGTTACCTCCTTCCAGGAGCCCCAGTAGGAAGGTGATAGAACACTTTAGTTTATGTCTGATCAGAATAAACAGATAATGCCAAAGAGATTGTCAGTGAAGATGATTAAGAAAAATAAAAGAATACCAACAAGACTTAAAAAATAAGATGTGTTAAAACAATATTTTAATTGTGCATAAGATTTAAAATTCCACCTTGGGAAAAATAAAATCATTTTCTAAACTTTAGGCAGCCATGTATCAGTGCCCATCCTTGCCTCAGAATCATCAGCAGGCAGGGGGATTTCTGGAGTCACCAGTACTCAGTTTCTTCATACCACACATGTGGTCACAGCCTCCCCCAGTACTACCTGGCTTCCTATCTCTCCTAGAGGTCTTCACTCAGATGCACACATCTCCAAATCCCCAATTCTCTTCTTTCTTCTATCTCACCCCCTCAGATGTCACTTCTTATCCAGCCCTACAGCAGCCTCTGTTCTTTGGGTTAAAGATCATATGTTGAATTCATCCCCCTGCCTCCACCTAGCACAAGGGTTAAGATGACATTATTTCTGCCCCAACAACTGAGATGATTGAGGCTCATTTCTTCCCACCATCTCATTCCTTTCATCTCTTTCCTCAGTTTCAGGTGGTGATCAACAGATCAGGAAAAGGATTTTCCCCAAGCGTTGAGTGCAGTCCTTGGGTTATGGGTTATGGCCATGCCTCCATTGTCCCCCTCCCACAGAGGCCCTGCATCTTCCTCTCAGCCAAAAGTGACACCACAGGGAGGAGGAAGGCACTGAGTGGGGTCAGGGGTGGGGATGGTAGCTTGTCTGTTCACGAGGACAATGGATATGACCCAGCATCCTGTGGGTTATAGATCATCCTACAGATTCTGTCATTCTCTCTTCCTAAGATACTTCCTCCACTCCCCTTCTCTCATTTATCATACTCATATTTTAGACTCACCTTTTCCAAAAAGCCATGCTCAATTCACATCCTGTGCTCCAAGATGGGTTATCCTCCCTCCCCTGAGCTTTCCTAAAACCAAGGACATACTCCTATCACAGCACCCATCACCTAATACTATAATTTCCTCTTCATGTCTCTGTCTCTTCCCATGAGCTCCTTCAAACAAGAGACAAAGTTTGTTTATTATTTATTTATTTATTTATTTTCATGTCACCAATGGCCACCCTACTGTTTGGTTCATAATTAGCACATAGTAAACGTGTCGAGGATTTGAGTAAATAAATCTTAATATTTTGGGAAGAACAAGATGAAGAGAGGTGAGATGCCCTGCTTAAGATAGTAGGATTCATTGGTTACAAAGCTGGCACTTAGAACCCACATCTTCTAGCAACACATCTGGTATTCCTTCCTCTACACAGCTACTTCTGCAGTGGTGGGGATTGTGGTGAGGACAGCTGGTAGTCATCCAACTTCCCAGGCACCCTGACCATCTACTGGGCATAGAGCAAAGGGTTTGATCAGCAGATTGAAGGTAACCCCACTTTGTCCTTGCTGAAGTTCTGACTCCATTATATCATCCGAAGCCATGCTATCTGTTTCAAGTCTACCAGGTGACCCAGCCAAAGGTCAAGTTTATACAGTCCTCTTTTTGAACCCTGTATCAAGAGGAAGGTAACTTCACTGTCTTAGGAGCTCAGGGAGAAACTGGACCCTCGACCCCAGAGTCCAAAGAAGGGGAATATCTTCTGGGTGAAGGAGGCAGTGAAGGTATAGATGGATTCCTGGGTAACAGCATTGATAAAGGTCACCCAGCCCACTTCATAGTCAAGCGACACCCGCACCTGCCTGGGCTGCTCTTTGAGGGCCAGCCGTGTGGGGAAAGAGCCAAGGGCTGAGACGAAGCCCCATGCCAGCCTCATGGCCCATACCCCCTCCTCTGGCCTCAACCGAAGCTCTCCCTTCCGCCTCACATCCTCACTGACCACCCCCACAGTGCAGCTGCCCCCGTGAGCCAAGTCTACATTCACCACCCAGGTGTGTCTTCCCCCTGTGAAACCACCTTGGGCCAGGACACAGGTGGCCCTGTCAAAACGCTGGGGACTGTCTGGCGAGTTCTGCCATTTGTAGGAGAACCGAGCCTGCTGGTGGTCCTCAGACAAGAGGAGCTTGGGGTGGGAAGTCTTGGGGTCTAGAAAGATGTGAGCTGTAAGGAAACCAAAGGGGACACTTGTGTCAGCAGACATGTTATCTTCTTCAAGAAAGACCTAAAAAGTCCCCCCGGCACCCATCTGTTAGTGCTATTATTACCAACAATGTGTATAGTGCCTACACAGACCAGCGCCTGAGAACTTCTTAGAAATGGGCTCTCAGGCTTCATGCAGACCACCTGAACAGGAATCTGTATTTTTAACAAGATCCGCAGGTGACGGGTCTGCATGGGAAAGCCCGAGAAACCTGCCCCAGAGGACAAGTCAGCTCTGATGTCTTTGCTCCCCGATTCTGTTGTTCTGTCCTCTGAAGGAGAGCTGATGCCCATGGTTAGGCAGCCTACCTGCTCTAACCTTCTTCTGCTAACATGTCTATCCACATCCTGTATCTGGGACTGTGAGGGCACTGATGCTCCACTCTCTGTCCACACCTATGGTCATTCAGACTCTGCTCCTGGCTCACCCCAGGTTACTCATTCTGCCTCAGTAAATTGAAAACCTTCAGGGTCTGAGAGCCACTTTGTAACAACAAAAAGTTCTGCAGAACCCTGCATATTGTGACTGTTAGTACCTGTACATTGAGACAAAGTGATAAATTCAGACATGTGCATGGGTTAGAGAGTTCCTTCCAGCAACTCTGTGGCTTCTCAGGCTCTTTGGCTGATAGTGAACAACAGCCTTGAGTGGGGTCCACTCTGTTCATTTCTTCCCCCACCAGCTTCCCTCCTTCTGACAACTTTGAGGGAGTAGGGACAACCAACCATGTTTTAAAAGTATGATTCTAAACCCAGAACAAAGCTCCCCTCATCCAGTATGCATTTCCTGATACACCTTGTCCCATTTTGATTTAATCTCTCTACCCCCTCATCATGGGTAGATCAGAACAGGAGCTTTATGCCAGGTGTATGGAATGTGTATGCACCTGTCCTTTGTTCTCTGGCAAGCCTTGCAAAGGTATTGATGTGTATGCATATTTTTGTGGGTGTGTTTGTGTGGGTGTGTGTATATACATATGTGTGTGCATGTGCATTTTTATATATAAAACACCTTTTCAATTTTAGATTCTTCTCTCCCTCCCATCCAGACATAGGCTGCTTACCTGGTTCATAGTCCAACTCAAAGCAGAGTTTTTCTGTACATAGGAAATAAAGCAGGATGAGATTTCATTAGTCTCACAAAATCATAGGACAGTTAATGATGAAGAAACTGAGGCCCAGAGAAGAGAGGGAACAGAGAAGAATGAGGGCTGGAACCCTCCAGACCAGTGTCCTAAACTTGAGTGGGCCAGAGAGAGCACACTGGTTTCTGAGTCAGTAGAACTGGATCAAACTGAGAATTTGTGTATGTAACAAGTTTACAGAGGCTGCTGCTGCTGCTTGCTGGGAGCCTACATTGAAACCTACTCCTGTAGCCCTAAGCAGATGGAGTCCTGTCCTGATCACCTCTTTGTCCTCAGTGTTTCCCACAGAGCTGAGAACATAGTAAATGCTCAAGAAATATCTACTTAATGAATGGATACATGGGCTAAGTTATTTCTTGTTCTGCTTGGAAATTTTTGAGATAGTCAAAGGACAGTCTTTGATTAGAATAAAATCTCTTTCACTACCAAGCCACTGGGAGTGCTTGCAGGAAGTGAGTTTGTGGGGAGAACTCTTATAGGGTAACACTTTCGTGGGTGGGTTTTTTAGAAATAGTAGCATCGTTCAGGATGTCATGTGTGTGGTGGGTAGCTGTTAGCAGAGAGCCACATTTCTGACCCTCATGTCAAATCCTCCACACCCTCTCCAACCACTCCCTGTTGCAGAAAAAGGGGCACAGTCCCCACAGGGTAGTCTGGCTGTGAGAACCAGACTAACAGGGAAGTGAGGCAAAGAGGAGGGAGGGAGGTCAGCTACCACAGAGCAAAGAGATATAGTGTTGCTGGTTACTAATTAATAGTGTTATCATGAAAAAAACTTATACTACAAATGTGGACTTTTTAAGTTATTGAGAATAATAGATTTTATTAATCATTATTGTTCTTATTGCTTAATGCCAATCAGATTTGTGTTTTTCAAATCAGTTAAATTTTTTCTATTAATCTTCACCTTTATTATTTCTTTCATTGTCACATCATCCCAATAAGCAGATTTTATAAAGATCTGCAAGTAAGGAGACCAAGGCACTGGAAGGTACAAGCCCTAGGGAAGTGCCAGCATTGGGCAGCAGAATACGGGGCTGCACCTACAGCCATGCTTCCTGCCCTGTGCTGTGGGCCTGGGGAGTGCTTACCCAGAAACAGCTTCATCTCCCTTTGCAGTGGGAAAACCTGACGGGGGAAGTCACGAATCCTCTGGCCCAGCTCAAGGGACACAGCCTCTGGTTTCCGGCACTTTCTGGTTTCACACCTAGGAAAACAGAATGGCAGAGTTGGGAATTCTCCTCCTTTGCTATACCTCCAGACTCAGCCAGTCACCTTCTTCTAACTGGGCATGAAGGCGCCAGTTCCCACAGGATGGACCCCATTGCCCACTCTTGGGCAATGCTATGCAGGCATGTGTATCTACCACTGTATATGAAAATGTATTTGAGTAAGTGAAAGTATACATGAAAATTTTATCCTAAATGTAAGAATGTCATAAATTTGCACTAACTGGGCTTATGATGCATGTGTGTATGTACGTGTGTGTATATGGGAGAGCAGAAGAATTGTATCACTTACCTTATCAGAGTGCTTCTGATATTCTGTGGGGGGGGAAGAGAGAGAGAGGTTTCAGTTTCTGTCTTCCTCTCCCACTTTTCTTATAACTAGAAAAGACAAAATACCATATTCTTAGCCCTGGACAGAAAAAGGACACAAAATCCAGAGTCACAGTGTTTTAGGCTTTCCAAAGCTTCCAGGATCATAGAGCCCAACCCCTTCCATTTATAGACCCAGATGGTGAAATGAACTGCCCTTGCTGTCAGAGGCAAAGGCATGAGAACTTTCACCCAGAATCTCCTGTTTGTCTGTCTGAGTGTCTCCCCCTAAGTCATGCTCCTTCCTAATGCCTCATTGAAACCCCAATATCTCTTCTGCAATGGGAGGAAATGAAACAGATCGGGAAGAACTTCCTGACTGGTGGACGGTGGCACTGTGAATAGTTTGCCTTAGAAGTAGCAGATTACATTTGCATAGTATTTGATGCTTTTCAAAGGGCTGCTTTCATTTGCATTTACTTTTGGGTCCTCACAAAACCCCTGTGAGGTAGGAAAAGAAAGTGTCTTCCCTGTTTGATGGATGGTAGCATGGAGAGACCCAGACCAGGGAAGCAAGGACTAGAATTCAGAGCTTCTGGTCCTGTGACCCATCTTCCACTGACCTAGGGAGCCCAGGTGGGCGAACCAGGGACAGGTCTCACCATTAGGAGCTCTCTGGCCGGCCTCTCCTTCTTCTCCTCCAGTTCTGCGATCAGGGTACTAAACCGGCACATCTCCCCAGTGACCAGGACATCAAACTCATCCCGTTGCTTCAGGATGTCCCCATCCAGTCTCTCCAGCTGGGCTAAGAGGACACTGTGCTGCTCCTCCAGGAATTGGCTCAGGTGTGCAAACTCAGAGATCACTCTTTGTCTCTTGGTGGCCACCTGAGTCTGAGGGGACCAAAGGAAAGGCCAACATGAAGTTATTCCTCCTCCTCCTTTCCATTTCGTTTTTCTTTTTTTCCTTAGTGCACTCACGTCTTCCTCCTGGCCCAGATCCACATCCTCCAAGGTTCATTGGTAAAATCAGAGCCTACCCACCTAGGTCCCCAGACAGAGTTGGAAGGGCAACATTCTTGCTTTCCACCTGCCATACCACTTCTGGGAGCTAGACTGTTCTGCATTGCCTCAGAGGAGAAGGAAGGGAGGGTCTGGGGACACCCTACCTCCTGCCTTTTGCAAAGTGCACACTATGTACATAACACTAAGTTGCATTACAGGAACAATCCCATTTCAGTCCTTATAGAAATGCCATGAGGTAGTGTAAATTTTTAATCTCCACTTCAAAGAAAAATAAACAGAATAGAGAGTGGCTAGAAGCCATTGAGCTAGTTAGTGTCTGGAGTCAGGATTCAAATTCAGAATGACATTGAAGCCCTCTATGCTGCGCTGCCTTGGGTTCAGAGAGGCACTGGCCCCTAAGGAAGGGAAGGGGCCAGACAGGGGATTATGTCCTACCAGAAGGACTTGTATCCTCTGATTTTCTCTTGACTGAATCTCTTGAATCTCCTCTCTCTCTTTTCTTAGACACTCAAGGCAGTTCTGTATCTGTTCCTGGGGAGAAGGAGCATAAAATATTTAAGATGGAAACATGGTTTGCTAAGGGTTGTCATCTCGTCCAACCCTCTGCTTCCAAGGAAGGAATGGCCCAAGGGAAGGAGTCACTCCCTCTGCTGACAATGCCTGGGCCTTAATTGTCCTTCACAGCTTCCTCTCTTTGACTTTGATGAAGGCTTTGACCCTTTATCCTGGATCAACACAGGTTGAGACTTTCTTTCTTCATGTGTAACACTGATTTATTTTGCCTGTGGTAAGTGGAATCTGGAATCTATCCTGAGCTTGATAAACCCTTCTTGAAAATTATTTCAGCTTCTCACATGTCCCAAAAGGAGCACACCCAAATAACCCCCTCCTGTAAATAAAATCAATTTTTTTGTGTGTATAATTCTAAAGGGGAGAAAACTTAGATAATGCAAAAATAATCAGTGAGCTGTTTTAAAATTGCTTGCTGTAGAATAGAGTTAAGAATAAGTACACACATGTAAATGTTCATATAGGTAAATTTAAAAATACATACAGAACTCTCATCAAATACTAGTTAATTGACATATATACCCACTTATACTAAAAATATAATACACAAACAACTAAAACAAGCACACACTCACTTAATGACAGATAAAATTATACACATATGTTTACCCTCATATATACAAACATCAATTTATTAAAGTACATGAGAACTGAAACAGTTACATTTACACACTCAAATGTTTAGCCCAAACATAGTGCACACACTGGTAAACATGCAAACATTAACACGTATCCACACCATTTGTGCCATCACTCCCTCAAATATAAACACACATGCTCAGACACACACACACATTTTTGTCACTCATCCTTTCAATGAGCATTTATTGAGCTCCTCTTTTGTGTTGGCCATACATAAATGACATAGACCATGCTTCAAACACAAACACACACTCTTCCATTCCTAGGTCTATTGCCTGGGTAAAGACAGGAGTCAGGAGACAGAATTTGGCTCCATAGTGGCCCAAATAATCCACAGCTCTACTCTGATTCTTAGTCCAGACCCACCCTGGGAAGGCCCCAGTTTGCCCTCTCCTACCCTGTAGGGCCTTGCTGCCTCCTCCAGAAAGCGGACAGTGTGGGCTCGGTGCGCCCCGGCCTCCCGACACACCACACACAACTGTATCTCATCTTCCTCACAGAAGAAGTAGACCTTCTCCCCATGGTCCTGGCAGACATCCTCTCCTGTGCTCAGCACGGACACCAGCTTGAGGCGCTCGATGTTCTCTACCACACTGGCCAGCTGCCAGTTGGGTCGGAAGCTCCCTGGACGGAAAGACTCCTTGCAGAGTGGGCAGGTGGGGGGTTCCTCAGGGTCTGGGCCTGGGATCTCACAGTAACGGGTAAGGCAACCACGGCAGAAGTTGTGCCCACAGTCAATGGTGACTGGCTCCCTCAGGGAACCTTGGCAGATGGGGCAGTTGACTTCATCTTCCAGGCTGGTCACAGAGGTGGCAGAGGCCATGGTGCTGCTGTGTCTGGGACCTCCTCAAGGTCACCTTCTCTGCTTGGCTGAAGAAGAAGGGCTGGGAGAACAGTGAGAACACACACACACGTGCACATAGCCAGGCACAGACACATCTTAAGTGCACTCTAACACCCTCATGGTCACACACACACACACACACACACACACACACAAAGTCAAGGCACCGACTTGCATTTCTGGTGGCCAGAGCTCTGCCATCCTCCTCCCAAAGGAATAGACACATACCTTCCAACAGCAGAGTAGATAAATAGCAGTGGTGGCAGAGGAAGAAGGGGTCACAGTACTCCAGGGATGACCTCAGTTCTATCTGATCAGGTGCCCATGACCAGGGATTCGCAGTTCCTTCTGTCCATGCAGTGATATTCACAGCAGAAATGGTGGTATCTCAACCATTCACAGTGGAAAGGGATCCGTCTTTTAGTCACAGCAGGAGGGAGAGCCATGATGCTGCCCCACTCTCCTTGCCTGTGGCCAGCTGTCTCCAGGGAGATGGGACATATCAGCCAGCCCAGGGGAGTATGGGGACCCAGATAAGATGGCTGTGACCAGAAAACATGTACCACCTACTTTACCAGTGATGTCCCAGCCAGCCTGCCTAGGCTTCTAAAGAGGTATCTGTGTGGGGGAAGAGAAAGGTAACAGCAACAGCCTTTATTTATGATGACTACATTCCTCACACTGAAACACAGGATCTTATTTTTAACTCCTGCCTGCTATATGATATTGGTACTATTAGGATATTAACTGGGCTCACCCAGGGTATTTTTATGGATGGCCCTAATTCGCACTCTGATCTGTGTGTCTCAGAGTCGTGCCGTCTGGTAAAAATACACTGTGATCCATATATGCCATCTAAATTTTTCTCAGAGCCATAATATAAAGAGTAAAAATTGAAACAATTTTACTATTTTATTTAGCCTCAAGTATTATCATGTTATCCTAAAATTAGTGTAAAAATCAGTAATAAGATATTTCATTCATTGGTGTTGTCTTTGAAATCTGGGACGTATTTACACAGACAACACATATCACTTGGGGCTGGCCACCTCTCCACTGGAGCAGCCACATGTGACTGGGGGCTTGGTGTGACAGCACAGCTCCCAGGCTGCATGCTCAGCTGGTGGGCAGATAGTAGAAGGAAGGTGATGCATAAAACAGCTGATGTACAAAGGCAGTGAAACAAGGTGAGGCTGATCAGTAGTGGAATGGAAGGACTTTTTCCTTGGTTTTAGTCACAGGTGCAGGTGAGTGGATGAAGACCCATGGCTGTTTGATCATTGTCTTGGCTGGGAGTCTCCGGAGAACACAGGCTGGAAGTTGGCAAACTCAGACTGACCCCACCTCTGTGTCTGTGTAGCTCTGCGACTCAGGGTAAGTCATTTTGCCTCTCAGTGTACAATTTCCTGCCAGGTAAAATGAAGGTAACCATACATTCCCACAAGGGTTGCCTTCATACTGGATATAATATTATGAAATGCAGGTGTTAGATAAATATGGATGAGTTTGTTTATCTCACTGATTGAATTTTCTAAATTTAATCAACATGAATCTTGTGTATTACAGTCTCTTGCCTTCTCCCACCTGCAGTCAAAAACTAAAATTGAAGTACAATATTACTGGAACTCCTGGGACACTTGTGCTAGGGGTAGAAAGGGCAAGGACTTTAGAGGAGACCAGCATGGGTTGATGAGGTGAGGCAATGAAAAGAGGGTAGAGGAGAGGATTTGTGAGCAGGCACCTGGAGGACCTGGGCATCTAAACAGGGTGAGCCCACAGCATGCAAACTGAGGCTGGACTTTGCATGCTATGGGCAAGCCAGAAGTTTATGGCTCTCACATGTACAATCAAGCAGGAAGCAGCATCTCCTCTCCAATTCTTCCCTCCCCTACAAGTGGTCAAGGGAGGGATTTCAGGAAACCCCACTTCCCTGTGACCTCATGATATGCAGTGCTCCCCTCTCCAGGGGCCGACTGGAAGGGCCAGGAGAAAAGGCTAGCAGGCTACTGCAGGGAGTTCTTGGTAATCTGGGACTTCTTGGAGTTTGGACCCACTCTGCTGATGGGGAGTGCCCAGGGCTCTGGGAAGTGGCAGAGGTGGAACCAGGTGGTTTCCTTGCCTGACATCATTTCCCTCTGTGGCTCATGCAAAAATGACTCAATTGCAGGGAAAGGGAATTTCTGTGGCCTGAGGCAGAGGCCTGTGTGGATAGGCTGGGTAAGGCACCATGATTCCTTCAACCTCCTCCTGTGAGAAGGCCACCTGTCCTGCCTGCCAGGAGCCTCTGGATGATGCAGTGACTGCCACCTGTGGACATGTCTTCTACCTGAGGTGCTTCCCTCATCCTCCCATATGGGAGCCCAGCCCTCCAGCAGGGTCCTGCTCTGTCCCCTATGCAAGGAGAAAGAGAAGACAGAGACCCTCAGGGTCCCAGTGATCCTGGACCCTCTGAGGGAGACTTACTGTGGAGAGCATTGAGAGAAGATTTACTTCTGTGAGAATGGTGCTGAGTTCCTCTGTGTGCTGTGCCAGGAAAGCTCCTCCCACCAGGCCCACACCATGGGCTTCCTCAACAAGGCCATCTAGCCCTACTGGGTAAGGAGTGTGACTTCAGCATGGGCCTGTTTGGGGCAGGACAGTATAGTGTCTTGGTGATGGGAACAAGAATCTGAGTTAAGGGCCATGGCTCCACATCAGGCACCCCAAGGCTGTTGGGACACTGGAGCACTCCCAGACTTGGAGACATGGTTCCACTGGATATATGGTCATTTACAAGCCCTCAGAGGACCCCACGATGATGAATCACAAAGAATTATAGCCATGCCTTTATCTCTGTGGAAGAAAGGAGAGCCTCAATGCAAAGTAGGGATATCCTGTAGGTGAGTAGTGAGTGAACCTGGTTAGCCAAGATCCAGACTGGATATAGTATTGATTTACCAAGGCCCTGACCACAGGCCAAGGGGAACAAGGGGTGGGGAGAGCACCCTGCAGGCACTGCTCTTCTTTTTGAGGATGGGCAATGTGGCAGTAACCCATCTGGTATTGGGGACATTATCCATTCCTGTCTGCTTCAGGCCTGGAAGTGGTTTCCTCAAAAGTATTTCTCAGGTCTTTAATTCTACATTATCCCCACAATGACTAGCAAATCCAGGCTCTCCACATCTGTCACCCAGACTTTGCATGGTCTCCAATGTGTTCTCTGTCTTTACTGTCACCCTTCCAACACCCTCCAAACTGCTGTGAGGTAGATCTTCCTAAAACTCAAAGATGATCAACTTTCTCCCCTACTCGTGATTTCCCCCATGGATCCCTAGTGCCCAAAGGTAGCCAATATCTGTAGCAAGGCATCCAAGACCATTTGCTGTCAGGATCATGCCTTCTTGCGGAGTCTCATCTCTCAGCTGCCCTTCCCAAGGCATGATATATGCAGCCAGACTGACATGTATGTACCTGCTGATTTCTGAACTGTTTTACTCTTCCTTGTTTCTACTGCTTTTCGCATGTGGTTCCTTCCTCCTAGAATGTTTTCTTCAGAGACTCACTTTTTTTTGTTTTTTACCATTTTAACAATTTTTTAAGTGTACAGTTCAGAAGCATTAAGTTCTCTCTTCCCCTTCTCTTATCCAAATGGAAATTTATCTTTCAAAGCCTACTGTAAATGTTTTTTGCTTTCTAAAACTCTTCCCTTGTACCTACAGGCAGAATTGTCCTCTCTTCTGTGTTCCCATATTGTTGAATTCCCACCTCAATTATCCCATTTGTCTGTATGTATTTTAACCATTCATGACTGACTCCTTCCCTAGGTGGTGATCTCTTTAATGAAAAGGACTGGGCCTCTTTTATCTTTGAACTCCTCGGCAATCAATGGTGTGCAAGAACATGGTAGACACTTAACATCTGTGAGTTGAATTATGAATGAAGCCACTTCTATTCTCCCCACAGGACTGTCTCAGGAGTCAGTTGTAAGCCCCAAGCATGGAGAGAGATGAGACTGAAGACAAAGAGTTGGAAGGACCAGAAGCTCCATGTGCTTCTGGTATAAGCCACATCATTGGCCATTTTCTCCTCTGGTGGTTTTCTTAACAGACTCTGGGAGCTTGTTGTCTATTTCCTGCCCCCCCCCCAAAAAAAGAAAGAAAGAAAGAAAGAAAGAAAAGAAAAGAAAAAGAAAATTTGAATTAAGATGGCAGAGGAGTGGATGGGAGTCACACTGATCTCCCAGAACCAACCTGGAATTACAACTGACTTGTGGAGCAATCATCTGGAACAAACAACTGAACAATAGCGAGAGAGGAGGCTTATAACCTCGAACAGAAATAAGAGTCACCTTCAGCACAAACTAACTGGTAAGGGGTGCAGTAGAGTCTCAAGAAGGCAGGAGGGGCACCCATGGGCAGCAGCACAAGATGGATATTAAAATGGCCAGTTAGATCCCCCTGAGAAGAGTGAGGTCTAAACCATAAGCAGGGATCTCCAGCCTATAGCACCAGAGCCCAAAAAGTACAAAGATAACAGCCAGCTACAAAAAGTGGCCAGTTTGCTCTCTGCCAGAGACAGGCAGCTGGAGACCCAAAAGACATTTAAAGGACCAATGCATAAATTTTCATTTGAAGCCACTTACCCTAGGCTTCAGCAAAGGAGGGAGGAGAGTGGACTAGAGATGCTGGAGGAGACACTGGGGAAGGAGGCTTTGGGAGAGAACTGAGAGATTACCTGGTGGGATCCCAGAGCTGACTCCTCCTATCCCCTTACTGCAGCAGCCATCTGGCTCAGGCAGATAACTCCCCTGAATGGCAGCAGCATGAGAGGACACAATAACCCCACCCCCCAGGAAGGGCTCTGCCCTGCCCTGTAGTGTCTCTAAGCCAGCCTGCTGAGTGCAGAATGACTAGATCAACAGCTGAAGGAGACAGCCGCAGAGAGTAGGTGCCTGGAAGTCTTGAACAGACTGTCTAAGGTCAGACAGGGTCAACATCTGACATCATCAGAGTCAGATCCAGAAAGAAAAAAACAGCAATCT